GAGAGAGAGAGGGAGAGAGGGAGAGAGAGAGAGAGAGAGAGAGAGAGAGATTCGGTACCGAGCACTTCCGACGCATCGGAAGATCAAGAGAACACTGGCCATACTGACACGATTGCGTCAGCGGCCGCGCGACGAAACTTGTCGCAGAGAGAGAGAGACAGAGAGCGGAGAGAAAGAGAAAGAGTGACACCGCTTGGTTTGAGGCCGAGGCCCCGTGCGGCTAGAGTTGTAGGCCGCCCGCTCTTTTCAAATTGAACTCTTGAGCGTTCCCACTCACTCTGAACGGAACGTTCATACTGTTTTTCTGAACATTTCCGCCCGCCTTCGTTAATGTCAATTAACGAATAAATGATGTTGTTTGAGTGGGAACAGATAGATTTTGTCTACAAGACCTTTGAGGAGAGAGGTATACGAGTACTCGTTTCAGATGAGAGTTCACGGATTTGACCCCTGATTCCAACGTCCCTCCAAATTAGGAGAGGCTGGTGGGTTGAATAGCTGTTGAGTCCAGTAGTTAGCCAAGAGAGTTGCTAATGCTCCGCATTCCGTGGTAGCCGAGGAGAATAGCCGGTTGAGCTCAGAGTCTGCTTCCTTCAGATTAGTGCCGCAATCACTACGCAAAGTAGCGCAAATTCCCCTTTGTGATGTGAATCTTTTATAGGCTGCGATGAATCTGTCAGCTGTGTAATCAGTGACCAGTTCCAAATGCACTGCGGAGGTGACCTGACAAACGAATAAGGAAATGTATGCCTTGTATGATTTAGCATTTTTCCTTTCCATGTCTTGATGATAAGAGGCCCGGCGTAGTCAATGCCGGTGTGTAAGAAAGGGCGAGATGGAGTCACGCGTTCGATGGGAAGCTGACCCATCAGTTGTTGAGCCCTTTGCTGACGATATCTGGCACATTTCACGCAGTTTAAGATGTGAGACCGGACTGGGGCTCGTCCTCCAATGATCCAATAGTTATTTCGTAAAAATGTCAAGGTCACCTGTGTGCCTCCGTGCATTGTTCGAATGTGCGCATCAGAGATGATAAGAGAAGTTAGCGCCGATTTTCGGGGAAGAATGAGTGGATGCGTTGCTTCAGGCGACAGCAGAGATGAGTTAAGGCGCCCGCCGACACGGAGATGACCGTTTGAGTCGATGATCGGAGTGAGGCGTACGAGTGAGTTCGAGCGCGGAAGTATTTCGCCCCTTGTCATAATGGTGAGCTCATGATCAAAATGAATCCTTTGAATTGCCTGGATCCAGAATTCCATGGCTGCCTTTAGTTCGTGCGTGGTTAGCGGGCCAGATGGAGTAGTCAAGGCACGTCGGAAGCGGGTGACGCCTCTTCGGCACCAGGCAGTGATTCGAATTAGTCGATTTAGATTGGAGTATCGTTGCAGCAAGTCCCATGGCTCAGTTAATTTGCGAGGGGCTATGACCGCAACGTGAGTAAATCGCTTTTCTAACATAGTTTCTTGGATCCATAATTGAGGTGGATGAGGCCAGGAGGAGGGCTCTTGCAGGAGCCACGATGGTCCGGTCCACCAGATAGAGTGATTGGCGAGTTGATTAGGAGACAGTCCGCGAGTGCCACAGTCCGCCGGGTTGTCCGTTCCCGGTACAAATTTCCATATTGCTTGCGGCAGTGTTTCTTGGATAAACCGCACTCTGTTATGGACGTAGTCCTTCCAACGTGAAGGGTGATTGTTGATCCAGGTGTAAGTGATTGCAGAATCGGTCCAGAGATAGATTGCTTGAGAATTTAGAGTCCAAATTGCGAGTATGCGATCGACAAGCTTAGTCAAGAGCACCGCACCAGACAGCTCTAGGCGCGGTTAGTCGTTTAAGTGGGGCGACCTTGGTTTTAGAAACCACTAAATGAGACGTGAGGTCTCCATGGCTGGAGAAAACGCGGATATAAATTGCTGCGCAAATAGCGAGCTTGGACGCGTCACAAAACCCGTGAACCTTCACGGCATGATTATCTGCAATGCCTATCCAACGAGGGAAGGATAGGCAAGGCATATCATGAAGCTCTTCCACAAATTCACGCCACTTTACGGCGACATGAGAGGGTAACGGTTCGTCCCAGCCGATCTTGATGGACCATAATTCTTGCATGATGATTTTAGCCTTGATGATGACAGGCGACACTAATCCCAGAGAGTCAAACAATTTTGCGATAGAGGATAACACTCGTCGTTTTGTAATCTCGGCAAGAGATGTAGATGCTAAGGTGAAATGGAACGTGTCGGTAGAAGAGTTCCAGCACAACCCGAGTATATTCGTAATGGGTGTTTCATTGATTTGACAAGATGTCGTATGAGCTTGTTTGTCCGGTGCGATTGAGCGGAGGACATCTGGATGATTGCTCACCCACTTTTGTAACGGAAAACCGCCCGCCATGTAGAGTTGATGTGTCTGCTTTGCAAGTTCTTGAACGGCCGAAATCGAGTCACCTCCTCCGAAC